AATCAGCTTGGGCTGGCAGGTAATACTAGGAATGGATTGAATGTTGGCATAAAGAATGGGCCCAGGCCTGCACCATTGGGCCTGACCCAAAGAATCAGCCCTGATCAATTATCGATTCCCCGAGATGGTGGGAGCGCTGGGCTCACACCAAATTGGCCCATACTTTCTGACCCACACTTTCTTATCTCTCCCTTTTTTCCTTTTCCTAGTGGGCCTTGCAACAGGATTCGAATTGACAGAAGACCAACCGTCACTTACCGTGGACGCCTCCATGCATCCACGCGAGCGATTCTCCCCATGCAATGCAACAGTAGCCGAGGTAGGTTGTGGCATCTGGATTCCCACCATCCCTCTAGAGGACAACGAGGCGACTGATGGGGTTCCCGGAGTCTGCACTATGATAAACTTGAATTCTTCTCCGGCGAACCGAATAGGGATAGAACCCGACAACGGCCTATCCAACTTAATCCGAATTCTGACGTATTTCGACGACCAATGCTGCCAATCCACTTCCACCAACTCTTTGCAAAATTCCCTTCTAATAAGATCGATACTTTTCAAGTGTATCGGAATACCAGCCACCAACACCCACTTGGTTTTCAATAAATCCCCTCTGCGTATCTCTTCTGTCCAATGGGATATGCTCAAGACGAACTTCCTGAGCCTTCTCTGAATGAACCTCTTGATGCGCATGGCTTGATGCCAGCTAGGACATATTAGACACCATTCCCCAAGTCCTCTGCTAACCCATCCAAAGTTATCGTCGATAGCCCAGTTTCTTTAGGCCCATCTCCTAAAATCGCCATCTTCAAAAGCCGCCGGAGCGTCCTGTTTCTGTGATGGAGTCTTGATCACCAACGTTCTCCCCAGTAGTTCTTTCCTAATACGGACACCCTCTTCCTCGACATCAATGTACCGGTCACCCCCAGAACTTTTGATACTGCACTTCCCAGCTCCATAAAATCCCCCACCCTTCACCACCTCCGCATACGATCTATTCGGGGATCTCGTCTGAGCAGGGAACAACGGGGGGAGAGCAAGGTCATCCCGGCGCTTTTCCCGAAACCTGCGTTCCAGATTATGGAAGTCAGCATGACAATAAGTTGAGCCCAACCCAATCTTCCCTCCTGCTCCGGGATCAGAACCTTGAAAACCCTGCAGCTTTTGAAAGACTCAGAAATTTGGAGAAAGGCTCTACTCTTACTGAAGGCCATGCCCACATTAACAACACGATCTCTGACTTTCTTCATAAAGCCCTTACCGAATCTCCAGTCACGCGTTGCACTTGTTTGAAGAACACCTTGCAGCCAGGATAGATGGTCGACACTGAGCAAGATGAACCAACTTTTCGCAACTTCGGTCACCTGGATCCTATACCATGTTGCACCCCCCTTCTCCTTCCCTTCCTAATGCGACCAGCTTATATCCAAACCTTGATTTTAGCTTACACTCTTCCAAACGTTGGCCGCCACCACCGCACGAACCTGATTCCTGTGACATGCGCAAACAAACAGTAGAGAAACGACACGAAACGTTAGCCCCACCATTTGCGCTCCCCCTCTCAGGATCACTTCCTCGCCGACGCTCTCTCTCTCTCTCACTTATGCATATTCATAGTCATAATAATGCCCCTTGGTTAAATATATCAATGAAAATATATTCTTGGCATAGCATCGCACTTCTTGTTTCTATTTTCGTTGGCTTCTCCATGATCCTCGTTTTCTTGTTGTATTTGGAAAAATAGGGTTTCACTAAAATGAAGGTTATTGAATATTTTTAATTTAGGATGATGTTGATTAATTAGGAATTTGAGAAATTTGTTGGTAACTTGTTAGATTTGCTCTAGGATTATATTTTTATCTGTGTAAAGAGTAATTTACTTTAATGGTGTTATTTTTCTAATTGCTTGTTCATACCAATACATATGTATTATATTCTAACTCTTTGTGATAAATAAGCAATAAATAACTACATAATTGTGTTAACAAGGAGGAAAGAAGAGAAAGGAGAATTGAGAGAAAAAAAATTAGAATTTAGTTTTGTGTCCACTCAATTATAGTTATACTCTTTATTTTTTAATTGTCTTTCCTGTCATTGACATGTTACAATTTTATCCTTGTATTTTTTATATATAAAGAAATACTCTTAATGGGACGTAGAGCCTAAAACCATATCCATGCATCATCCCCATCAATCTTTTTACAAACTTTACTCAAAATTTCCCTATATCCATCAATTTATGGATTCTCCACATTAACTTAGTCGGGAGCAGTTGGATACCTACGACCGCGCCTATCCACGACCATTGTGAAGGTCATGGTAATTTCCTCTTCTTGATTGTATGAGGTAGAGCCACGACCAGGGCCGTGTTAGATGCTATGACTGGGTCCTAAAGCTGCCTATAAGTACCTTTTCTCCCAATTTTAAAGGTCTTTTACCACTTTGGTTCATGTCCTCAGAGACACAAATTTGGAGCAAGAAAATTTCATTTTTATAATAGATTAATGTTGGAGATACATTTTTATAGAATTTAATAACCCTTTGTTGAAGCCTAATCATCCTTCCTTTTGCAAGTCTAGCAAAAATCAATCTGAACTCGGGCGCCTTTACAACTTAACATCAGAGGACTAACTCTGTTAGTCCTCTGATCATCAAGCCAGACGAGGGATCATAAAGACCATTAGTCCTCCGAGGATGAAGACATGAGTTAGAGAGAGTGAACAACTGTTTTAATGTAGCCAACCTACCAATATTTGTAGTCATGGTGGTCTGGACCATTGACATGATACTCCAGTCATTGCAAATGTCGCATTAACTACTTCGTACTATCTTTCTCTTAACAGACCGACAAAGGTACACTATAACCGTCTGTGGCTGGCATATGACGTCACATGCAAAAGAGAAAGGGTTGAAGTCATGGCAGGCAAACGATATAATCTTTTGTCATGACTCTATTGTAGCGTCATTGTGCTAGCTGTTCACCAAAAATGTGTTGACTGTTGACCCTTATTGTGACGTAATCTTTTGTATGAGGTTTCTGCTTAACAGTTGTTTTATAGGCGCCTGGCGCATAGTGATGGCAATTGGGCGGGGCGGGTATCTCAGTAACCATACACTCCCTACACCAAGTGCGGATTATGTGGGGTATACTCACACAGGTACGAGTCGGGGCAGGTCGACTCATTCTTAATCATAAAAAATGAAGAGAAAATAGTTCATGAATGGAAAATAGAATAGGGAGACTAATTGAGTGAAATTAGTTGAAGATGAAGTCTTGCACTTATCTAAATCTAAGTATTATTGGGTGAAAATATGATTCAATATGAGTACAAATTAGAGAAATTAAGACAAATCTCAAGAACGGGGCAGGACATGGCAAGGCAGGATGAAAGCGGGTCGAGTATTACTCTATCTATTGCAGATCGAGTATTACCTGCTTCAACACATATTATATCGAATAATATTTGATGGAGCGGGTTCAAATTTTCATCAGTTGATCACCTTTTAACATCAAATTTGCATCGACTGGTAGGTGTGGCCCTAGCCCTATATGGGCCCAACACCTGTCACCATCAAAATTGTTAGTTAGCGTTGGTTCCTTCATCTCTTTTCAATTAATCTATCTTTTTATTTGGACTAGTTTTTGTTGCCTGCGGGATAGGTGAATAAATATAAGTGCATTTAGAACGACAAAATGAAATCATGTGGAAAAACTTTATTTTAAAGTTTACATAAAAATAGTTATCAGTTCTCCATGGACAATATGAGAGTAACTAAATATGAAATTACAAAGAGGGTCATGGGTACACAATTACACATGCCTTGGAACTTCCTAATTAACATGTTGATAACTACGGAGCTTAAAAATTACAATTTAAGTCATCGAGTCCAAATTGATAATAATTCATGGAGAATGCTCCACAAAAAATAGAGGCGTATCATCGATAAATCAATGTCTTCCAAATACAGTATAGAAGGTTCAGGTAACTGAAAAATCAATGCCTCAAAGCCAATATGAAATATGGCAACTATTCAGCTCAGCCGCAGTTAATTAACCTCAATATCTTACATGCACACAACTACGGAATATCTTTGAAGAAGAAGCTAATTGCAGTGTTCTATAATATAGCTTAGTGTTTCACCGAATTTTAGAGGATTAGTGAATTCTTACAATCATAAGATAAATATCAAACAAATGCATCGTTAATAGGATAGTAGCCCAAGATTCTTTGGGATACCCCGGGCCCTTTGAAGGCACCGTAATGCATAAAGTGTAACCTATAAATCAGAATCATCTGTACACATTTTTATCAAAGAAACAACAAACAAACCCCTCCCAATGCTCAACAGAAACTAATACAATGAGCTCGAAAAGAAGCGAGGCTGACAATTCTGCAGATATCAAGAAACTGCTTGAAATCTTCAATAAACGGGTATAAGAAAGGATACGCAAAGAGAGTTCAATTGTTATGCAGGGTAAGACTTCACCACAGATCAGTGCACCACTGCACCACCATAGTGACCAAGATGGAACACATGCATGTGGCATATAAGAAAAACGTAATGCTCATTCTGAACTGCAAACATGTTCAAAACCACACCAAAAAAAGTCTCCTAAAAACAGAGGTTTACATAGAGCAAAACCGACCCCATGGTGATGAATAAACAGAGGATAACATTAGTTAACTACTAAAGAACCAACACCATGGTAATAATTATTCCTTGCCCAGATCTTTTTTTTTACTTCTCGGCCAAAACCCGCCTGCCAAAATCAATAAGCAAAATAATAAATCAGGGAAATCAACAACAAAGCAAAATCGAAAAAATACATTAATGAGCAAATCTCAGCAGGAATTCGAAAACCTCCAACTATTGGAATCTTTAACCCTTATACATCACCATATATATATATATATTTCTGAAAGCTAAAATAAAAAAATACGAACAGGGCAAAGAAGAGGAGGACCCATCTACGAAGTACGAATGAGAGAAAGTAATCACCTGACCCATCTGCGGATCTGTTTTTTACCTTCGAATCCCATCTAAACCTCCGAGATCATCCACCGCTTGATCGCTTTAAAACTCCAAAAAATCAGGCAGTCCTGCGGGTTTTGCGCTGAGATTCGACGAACACCTCATCCCTCCAAAAATCGCTATCAGAGAACCCAACAGAATCTCGTCAGAAAAGAGATCGAACTGAAACTTTCGAGACAGAAAGATATAGCATGAATCCATCCACTAGAAAATGGGAAAACAAAATCAGTGAAGGGAGGGTAAGAAACATCACCTAAAATCAAAACACTTCTTCTCTAACCCCTCCCAAAATTGTTTAAATATGTCACCCAATCATCTTGAAACTGCACCGATTTTCAAGTAGACGATGGGAGAAACAGAACAAATCAGGGAACCATCATCCATAAACTAAAACAGGAAAGAGAGAAATGGGAAGAACAAATCAGGAGGAGCATGGATAGCATCAGTCCCACCTTCGGATTGCGTCTGGTGGCTACACCAGCATTTACAGTTCCGCAAATGACATCCATGCGGTCGCCCTTACGATTGCACGCCAGTGTCGCATTCATCCCGCATGAGCACCACAGAGACCTATGACAACAAACAACACAAATAGAGGAAATCGTCATAAATCAAAGAAGCATGAAGAGATGAGAGATAAGAGCAGAATAAGGGAGCGAATGGATTTTATAAGAGAACGAATGAAAGGGAAGAGAAAGAGAGCAGATAAAAGAGTTCTTCCTTATCTTGGCCACCCTCCCTCTCTCGTCAGTCGTCAATTAGTTGGCATTGTGATGATTAAAGCAAAGATAGCATTTTGCTTGTGTCAGTAATAATTATGGTAGAAAAAAAGTTGGAATACAATTTATGTGGTCAAAATAGAGCCAACGATCAGCTCAAGGAAAAAGCAAAATATCCATGTGCCTTAAACAACGTGAAAAACATCACATCCCATGGCAGCCTGCCAGCCTCCCTATATCTGATAGCTCCCTCGCTCTGTCTCTGCCTCTGGCGACCCCAGTTCTCTATCTTGAGAACCAATCCCAGCCCCATGGGTCCATCTAGTCTCCGCATGATCAACGCGGGGATTGATCACTTGGAATTCAACCAAGTTTCAACCAGGCCTACTCACATGGACACTATTCAGCAAACCATATGTCCAATCAGTAGTCCAAAGAGAACTGGGGAACACCATGCACCGCCCACACCCAAGCCCGCTCCAGGCTATAACAGTAAACATGAGTCTAAAGGCACAGTAAAAGCAGTCTAGTGAAATAGTAAATGAGATGTTGGGGGTTTTATTTCTTTCAATGAGATGAAGTCTAACTATGTTGCGTTGAAGTGTAACATTTTCTTGGCCTGAGATGTATATACGTCAAGGTGGCACTTTTTCACCGCTGATTATCATCGCAACTGACCATTAGTCCTTCAATATTACATTCTCAAACAAATTTACTATAGATTAAAGAGAAAATAAAAAGAGATAGTGATCACTAAAACATTGTGGCATTTGCCGCACTATGACGGTTGTCCGGCCCGGCGGAAGCTGCAGGCCAAAATCAACAAGGTTCTTGATTGATGATAATTACAAAGAGATTCTGAAATCATCAGCACTACCAAGCTGCTATAAATCGGGCCCTTTGGCTGAGCTTAAGTCCATCATTAATTCCCACAACAAAACATCTTATCGATTTTCTCTTTTCCTTAGCTTATTTTCTTTTGCTAGCCTCATTATATACTTTTGGTAGCAGCTTATATATAGCGATGGCCTTTTTTGCGAGCAAGAACAAGAAGGCGTTGGTGTCGATGATCGCCGTTGTCGCCGCGTTGGCAGTTTTGGCTCCGACGATGACTTCCGCAAAGCAATACGTGGTGGGAGATGGAGAGGGTTGGACCAAGGGCTTCGATTACTCCGCTTGGACCGCCGGCAAGCAGTTCTTCGTTGGCGACTCCCTGGGTAAGTAGAAAAATAGAAATATATATTTATATACCATTTTCATAGTAGGAAACGTTGTTTTTATTTAACCAGATAAGCGTAAATGAAGAACAATTCAAGTAAGGGTCTGTTTGGTATATGAATTTTAAATGCATGAATTTGAAATTATGAATTTAAATTATTTGTATTTGAAATATATATAATTAATAATAACCGATGATTTTAATTCGTAAAATATATCAAAATAATTATAATAAGTGAGAACGCATGTGTATATGATATGTCATGTCAGATCAGGTCTACCCTAGCTCGGCCTAAACGTTACACAAGTATATAAATTTATGAACCTACGTTTCGGTTTGTGCATGCAGTGTTCAACTACAGCCAAGGGAGGCACAACGTGTTCAAAGTGAACGGGACAGAATTCAAGCAGTGCTTAAAGCCACTTGTTGGGTCTCCATTTACCACAGGGAAGGATGAGATTGAACTCGAAACTGCCGGGAGGAAATGGTACATCTGCGGCGTCTCCGGCCACTGCAGCGCCGGTCAGAAGCTATTCATCAATGTCCTCGAAGGATCTGCCGCTCCGGCACCGACACCAGTCTCGCCATAAACCGGCGCCGTCTCTCGGAGCAATATCATAAATGCTGAGTTTGCTCGCTGCTGCCCTACGTGGATTTGTGTTTTAGGAAGTAATTCTAATAACATAAGAATAGAATTAATGAATTGGGGTTGTTGAGAAATCTGAACTTAGACATAGAAGGCCTAGTTCAGTTTTTTACATTTAAATTTGAGTTTTATTGTTGTATCTTTTGGTTCATGTCATCTTTGATTTACATTTTTTTTTATCTACGCGGTAACAATATAACTACTTCGAATTACCATAGACAATAAACATATATTCTTTGTTAGCTCTTGTTACTAATTAATCAACAAAGCATAAATGTGTGGATGTTGACAAATCGGGGTTAACTGATATAAACGATAAAGAAATGAAAGTCGAAGTGGAGACTCGTGAATAGTATCTCGAGATTCGGGAATAGTCCATGGTAGAGCTACTAGCACTCTTTGTTGGGATCCGATCCCCTGGGACGAAGTCTTAATCAAATGGCCTCTGTGGAGTTGATACAGAGTAGAAATCAAAGGCGGAAGAGTGTGTATGGTTGGAGCCACGACCTTGTCATCAATTTAGTTAAAATTATGCTTTAAAATTAAAAACATACTCTTTTACATTTGTAGGTCACTACAATCCTTCTACTATGTAAAAACACACTTTTAATTTACCGTTGTAGTAAAAATCTATATTTTAAAGGTTAAAAGTTTATATTTTTACATTCATCAAAATGCTTCTATATAAAATTTGCGATTTTGACTAAATAGCTTGTCACTACCCATTGTAAAATTTTGATATTTCACCATTTTGACCTCATTAGATTGGTGTCCAGTTGCCCAAGACTTCCACAACGACAAATCTTACATTTGACGCGAAAGGATGAATGGATGAAACTTTTCCTGAGAAGTCCACAACTAGCGCTGGTTCATGTCAACTTTGATTTACATTCTTTTCTATCTACAGTACATTACTGTAACGATTACCATTTACAATTATTTTGGATTATGAAAGAGAATAAATATAGAGATCGTTTTGTTGTTGTATTTGATAAAAGAGGTTGTTGAGTTATAAAAAAAATGTTGTTGTATTTGACAAATGAGGGTCTCACTAAAACGAATGTTTTGGATTTTTTTTTAATTTAGGATGGCTTTGATTATTTATGAATTTGAGAAATTGTTGTTTAATTGTTGGATCTGCTCAAGAATTTTAGGATTATATATCTATCCTTTAAAGAGTGATGTACATTTTTTTACTTCTGAGTGATATCAATGAAAAATAATAGTTAAGCTTACAATTCTACATAGGACCCAATAAAAGACTCAAAAGAAGCCACCCCAAAAAATCAAAAGATTCTAGCTCTACACGAGACAAAAGCAGTGCTTTACGCGCCACTCTATGGGCAGCACTGTTGGCGGATCTAGGTACCGCCCTAAACTCTATACAAACAGACGAAGAGCTAAGGATCTAAAGACACTCTCGTAACACCGGACCACCAATCAAGTCTTCTAAGACGTCTTGACGGGCTTGGTTGACGACCACTTCTGAATCACCTTCGACTATCACGTGGGTCAAGGATCTTGAGGCTACAAAGGAGATAGCTTCCATGAAAGCTAGAAGCTCTGCCAGATAAGGGTTGACTATTCCTTGATGCTGCAACCCGAACGCCAACATCACATGCCCGTTTGACCCACGGATAACAAGCCCAGACGAACACCCGGAGGCACAAACAGCTGCGTCGACGTTGATCTTCAAAAAGCCTTTTGGTGGAGGGACCCAAGTGGTGGCAGGAAGGTTTGGAGTAGAGAGCTGCGGGGAGGAGGGGGGAGAAGAAGACTGGAGATTCGAGGACCTGGTTGTAGAACTGTCTGGCTAGAGTACGGACATGAGGTTGGATAAATTCAAAGGTCACTTTATTTGTAGACTTCCAGATTCTCCAAAGTAAACAGACGCATTGGAGAATGTGGAATGGGGAGGTCTCGGAGACCATGACATGTCGCCACCATAGACTAAAGTTAATAGTCTGGCCGGTCTCAACAAAGTTGCTCAATCCCACTAAAGTCCACAATCTGATGGCTAGGGGGCATCGAAGTGGAGACTCGTAAATAGTATCTCGAGATTCGGGAATAGTCCATGGTAGAGCTACTAGCACTCTTTGTTGGGATCCGATCCCCTGGGACGAAGTCTTAATCAAATGGCCTCTGTGGAGTCAATACAGAGTAGAAATCAAAGGCGGAAGAGTGTGTATGCACTACAAAGTTAGTAAGTTTAGGAGACGAAAAATGTCGTCTCCAAAACATAGATTTTTCGTCTCCAAATCTTTTGGAGACGACAAATGTCGTCCCCATGGGTGGTGCCTATAGGTCCCGTCCTCTATTCTTTTGGGAACAAAAAATGAAAGTCGTCCCTAATATCAGGGACACATAGTCGTCCCCAAAGATTCAAAAATCCGAATCAACATATCGTACTTTTTTATATCAATTTAAGACAAGATGTCGTCCCCTATACAGTGTTTTTGGAGACGACAAGTGGTCCCCTATGAAGTATTTGTAGAGACGACAAATCGTCCCATATGAAGTGTTTTTGAGACATTAATCCTTGCTAAGAACTATATTTAAAGACAGTTAGTCGTCCTTAATGCAATGTTTTCGAGACGACAAGTAGTAACCTAAGAACTATATTTTTAATAACAGAGAACCTATATCCTTTAAGTGTAAAAAATAATTTACTCCACAAGAAATACAATTTCATATTATTCACACAATTCACAACACAACATGGAAAATCATTCTCTTATAAATTTTTAATAATACAAAAGTGTATACAACATAAGATAATATGAATAACTATCTTTAAATTACATAATACAATCAGGCTAAACTATAAATATAAATAATCATGTGAGATTTTTCTGTCTTCCTTACTGGAAATGTACCCTTGAGGTTTGAAAATGATTCCTCCAAAATTCTTCTTGGAAGTGAATACTCAATAGCCTGTCACAATGAAACAAGACAATATTTCATCAACATAGTAATTTAAGTCGATCGAGAATTAGATCCACTTATTATGCAATAGGTAGTCCATTCCACAACCGTCACAACTCGTTACACCACTTCTTAAGGCTACCTAGAGCTTGAGGAATAGTTAAGTACCTAGACCTTCTCAAATAGAACAAGCAACAAAATGTAATATACAGGAACTGACATTAAAAGGAGTACAAATTATTGAAGAATGATTTACCTGCAAAGGAACCGAGAGAGGGCTAAGTTTCCTTAAAATTATAGGACATGATTTTAAAAAGTTGGTCTCTGTGATAAATCTATTTCATCTTGAAAGATAAACCAAACCCAAATTCAGAGTTGACGATTTGAGCGCCATAAGAACTTGAGAAGGAAAAGGAAGATCTAATTATCACAAACTTTGTGCCAGAGTGTGTTGGATATTGTGATAAATCAATTTACAAGCTCATTGTCCCATCGCCAAATTCAATCTAACTTATAAAACTATTTTCCCATACAGCCTCCAAATGCTCTTCCTGGAGCAGAAAGCAGAGATTTTCAACTAAATATCCGAGTTACCAAGTAATCAACACATACATGCACATGATCAAGATGAATAAATCACTTATCTGGAACTCTTTTGAAGCTATAAGAGCCTTCATGTCATATCTCTTGCTTCTCCCTCCATCCTGAGATTGAGAACTTTGTTGCACACCACTTTTCATCACAAAACAATTGGATGAATGAAAACCAATCAAGTTAATTAAGGAGGGAGAACCTTTTTTTAACATAAAAGGTTATGGTCTCAAATAACTGGTGACACGCACATAAAAATTGAGAATGGGGAATTAAATTCGTAATCTCCATAAACGAAAATCAAAGGGTATGGATTCAGGGGATTAGACATAAGAGTGATTGCGATCATTAAAGCAATATACGAAATCCTTAATTGGGTGAGGGATTCTGTGGGAGGATGATGATGAAAACTACGACACAAAGGAGGAGGAAGCTAGTGTTGCTACGAACTGATGGAAAGAACGAAAATTGAAAGGAGATATAGAGAGAAGTGCTCTCATACCTTGCGATTGGCCGGGGCTATGGTCTATCGCCTTCGACTCTTGTTGGCGATCACAGAAGAATGAGAGTAGGCGAAAGTTGGGGAATAAATAAACCCTAAGACTCAAGCTTCCCTGACTTTATCGTGAGAGAATCGGCAGCCCAAACCTTTGGGGACAACTTGGGTTAGGCCCGTAGTATTGAAACATCCAATTCGGATTGCTTTGAAGACAATTACATGGAGTTGTCCTTAATATCACTTAAGTTTGTTATTCCGGAGACAATTTTAAATCTTTGTCTCTAATTATTGTCCTCTATACTCCCTAATTTTGTAGTGATGGTTTGAGCCACGACCTTGTCATCAATTTAGTTAAAATTACGCTTTAAAATTAAAAACATACTCTTTTATACTTGTAGGTCACCACAATGCTTCTATATAAAATCACACTTTTCATTTACCGTTGTAGTACTCTTTATTAATATGACACTAAATGGGTGTCAAGTAATCAGAATGAGAACAAAGGTTTACAATAGATCGAGGAACATTGACGATGGAAAACTATAATGCAACTAGAATACAAACTTACTCTTTTATACTTGTAGGTCACCATAATGCTTCTATGTAAAATCACACTTTTCATTTATAGTTGTAGTAAAAATTTATATTTTAAAGGTTAAACGTTTACATTTTTACATTCATCAAAATGCTTCTACATAAAATTTGCGATTTTGACTAAATAGCTTGTCACTGCCCATTGTAAAATTTTGATATTTCACCATTTTGACCTCATTTGATTGGTATCCAGTTGCCCAAGACTTCCACAACGACAAATCTTACGTTTGACGCGAAAGGATGAATGGAATAAACTTTTCCTGAGGAGTCCACAACTAGGGATAGGGATGTCAATTCGATGGGTTCGGGACATATTTTTCTAAATCACTCCAATTCTCAATTTTAAATATCTAAATTCATTTGTGCCCATACCATGAGGGGAAGATTAAGTAACTCCATCTCCATACCTACGATTTTCAGCTACCTGTAGATAATACACACCTTGTACATCAAACGTGATTATATAAAATTCAACCAGTAGATGTACAATTTTATGACATTAAACGGACCTACCAAATCATACAACCAATTCAGGTACAATCATTTCTTTATACGATTCACAAATTTTCATCCTAAAACAACCCTTAACCCATAAGACAAAGTAAAATACTATCCAAATCATTCATCTCCGGCTCTGATACAACAACTAAGCAAAAAAATAACTAACATAATATTGTTAAAAAGGGGGAAAGAAGTAAAAGAGTGAAGGGAGAATTGAGGGAAAGATATTAGGATTTGGTTTTCAACCGCTCAGTTACATTTCTACTCTTTATTTTGTAATTGTCTTTCATGTCATTAACATTTTAGAAAAACAAGATATTCCCAAAAGAGAACAACTAGATACGAATTGGAAGTCTTTTCAGACAACCATAATAATACATATAAGAGAAAGGGACGACGGTCAACAAATAGCCGAACCATCGATAAGAGAGCTTTTTTCGCCACGCAACGGGCAACTCTTTATACCTATACGGCATGGAAAATGTTCATGAGTTCTATCCTATAAAGGTAAAAATCATGGAACCAACCATACTGAATGTGAAACAGAAAAGCAAATTGTTACAGTTCTGAATTGAAGAATCACCTGCAAAATTAACAAACAAATCATCTCCAATTGGACAACTCTATGAGCCGGCCATAAGAAACCACCAGGTCATGAATGGTTAGAAATAAGGAGATATTGTTGCATATTTTGTATCCGAATTCAAACAAATTTGCCGCCTATGATATTTATAGGACACTGAAGGCACAGTGTGCTGAGGCGTTGGAGTTGATGAATCCCCTGGCGAAACCCCAGTTGTCATAATTGGTTTGTAGACATTTTGATTTACGTACTGAAATTTGAAAATTTGATTTCGATATATATATTGCTTATATTGTTCTTCTACAAATAAGAAAAAAGATCCCTTTACCAGCTTTCACCTCACTTCGTATTCTCTCTAAAAAAGCGAATTAAAAATGGAATTTTCATCTCATAATGAAACCCATAATCATCTAAATTTACAAGAGGAAAATAGGAGAACACAATAACATACATCTACGTTAGTGATTCAGTTGGAAGATTGAGGAACCCAAAATTGGGTGCTCCAGGTTGCACACCTCTTGCCGCCTAACTCTGGTGCGACTTCCGGGATGCCGTTCTCAGCAGGTCGCTCTCGCAATCCCTTCGTCGTTCGCTCAAGGGTAACATTTACTTGGCCTTAGATGTACATACGTCAAGGTGGCACTTTTTGACCGCTGATTATCGTCGCAACTGACCATTAGTCTTGCAACATTACATTCTCAAACAAATGTACTATGCCTTAAAAGAGAATATAAAAAGAGTTTGTGGTCACTAAAACATTGTGGCATTTGCCACACTAGGACGGTTGTCCGCTCCGGCGGAAGCTGCAGGCCAAAACCAACAAGGTTCTTGACGATGATGAATACAAAGAGAGACTGAATTCTTCAGCACTACCAAAACTGCTATAAAACGGGGCGCTGCCTGAACTTAAGTACATCATCCCCACAGCAAAACATCTATCGATTCTCTCTTTTTTCTTAGCATATTTACTTTTGCTAGAGCTCATTATCTAATTTTGCTACCAGCTTGAAGCGATGGCCATTTTTGGGAGCAAGAACAAGAAGGTGTTGGTGTCGACGATGATCGCCGTCGTTGCCGCGTTGGCAGTTGTGGCTCCGACGGTGACTTGCGCAAAACAATACGTGGTGGGAGATGGAAAGGGTTGGACCAAGGGCTTCAATTACTCCGATTGGACCGCCAGCAAGCAGTTCTTCGTTGGCGACTCCCTGGGTAAGTAGAAAAATAGAAATATATGTCATTTAATTTAATTGCAGGAAAAGTAGTTTTTCGAAGAACAAGTTATACATTTGAAAATCATAATGAAATTTCAAATGCATTTATTTAAAACACATACATTTGAAATATATGTAATTCAAATTTTATGTTTAAAAAATTTACGACAACTTGTTTAATATTTTATATTTATGAGTGTTTTCAATTTTTCGGTCACGTAATACAATTTTATGAAATGACATTTTAGTACCTAATTAGGTGATAAAATTATGCTTTAGTACTTTAATATTTTTTCCCTACTACCTGAATTTGAAATTTTTATAAATGGATCCAATATGTTGCATGAAGTATTTTTATAAATGGATCCAATATGTTGCATGAAGTATTTCAAATCACTATTAATTGATATGTATTTTGAAATTCACTCCATGAATTTGATACATAACTAAATACCATATGTAACTAGTATCCAAACAAATGGTTTAGCATATGAAATTCTAACACCCAAGTTCCAAATCCTTGTATCAAAACAAACCCTGATAAAACATTGTGAGCGACACTTGTGTTATTTGCATACATCAAGAAATTATTAATTTGGCTGTGAAATGCTACATACGAAGTGTAAATATTTACTTGAATATTATCGTATGATAGTCTGTACGATTTAGTCTAGTGCACACTTGGAGTTCGCTAATTTTATTGTACGTTTATCGAATTTCGCTATTTACACCATGAAAGAATCAGACTTTGGGACATGATATTATACCCTGAACCTCAATCTATGCTCTAACCCAAATCAAAAGATTCAATTAATAAAATAATTGATAATTACTGAGGGTTATAATTTGTCAAAATATATAGAATTACATCTAATATAAGTGTAGACAGCACGCGTATATCATACTTCAGCCATACACTAACTTGATCTAAACGTTATAATATAACATTTATGAGCGTATATTTGGTTTGTCATGCAGTGTTCAACTACCAGCAAGGGAGCCACAACGTGTTCAAAGTGAACGGGACAGAATTCAAGCAGTGTTTAAAGCCACTTGTTGGTGCTCCATTTACCTCAGGGAACGACGAGATTGAACTCGACACTGCCGGCAGGAAATGGTACATCTGCGGCGTCTTCGGTCACTGCATCGCCGGTCAGAAGCTCTTCATCACTGTCTTCGAACGATCTGCCGCTCCGGCACCTACACCAGTCTCGCTATAAATTGGCGCCGTCTCTTGGAGCAATATCATGAATATTGCTGAGTAATTGCTAGCTGCTGCCGTGTTCTGAATTTGAGTTGTGTTTTTGGAAGTAATACTAATAATAGAAGAATAGAATTAATGAATTGTGTTGTTGTGAAATCTGAACTTAGACAAAGGAAGGGATACAGCTGGTTCACGTCATCTTTGATTTACATTTTTTTTTTTATCTACGGGGTAATAGTATAACTATATTGGTCATTGGATTACCATAGAAAACAAACATATTCTTTGTTAGCTCTCGTTTCTAACAAAGTGGAAATGGAAATACGTGGATGTTGACAAATCGAGGTTAGCCGAGATAAATGATAAAGCAATGAAAACCAAAATGGACACACATTATTTATGTGGTATTAATAAGTGATATTTCCCGGATTAGAACTTTCACGCAACGTGTCTTTCACGAATCGAACAAAGGAACTCGAGAATTGCTTAAGAACGAAGAGAAATAGAGGTTGGGAAGGCTGCAACTACTAAGCTATTTGGGTTCCAATCTTCTCATATTATTAAACGAAAGACACAATACATATTTATAGACATAGGAAGCCTCTAACTTCTCATATCTAGAAGATGAAACCATCCTACAAGGAAAAGATAACCAAATCCTAAACATACTAGAAAACAATCACAAATCCTACGAAGACAAGTAAACAATAATAATATCCCAAATAATACGAAATACTAACTAATTAATAATTCTACTAAAAATAGACGAGCCCGGAAATGTCTAGATTATTACGAATGGCTTGTATCGTAACAATCCTCCCCCCCTTAAGCGCAACCTTGCCCTCAAGGTTGGTCATCTTCATGGATGAACTGGCCCTCATCTTTGTCATTGCACGCTCCAATCATAAGCAACACACTCTTGTTAGGACAACGATGGCCAATTGTGAAACGTTCATCACAATGAAAACAAAAACCCTATGCCCGGTGTAGCACAACTTCTTCCGGTGACATCCTGCGAGCATTGGGAGTACGTGGCGGACCTGCTTACGGCGGCGGCACTCCTTCCTCGAGCGTAGCCTCCATATTCGAACGTGGCGGAGGATTCCAGTGCAGGCTACGATGTTAGGCAAGCTCATCATTTTTCACTTTAGCAAGGCAAATAGCATATCACTTATCGTTGTTGGCCGAAACATGCGAATAGCGCCGGCTATCTCCAGTTTGAGCCCTCCCACGAAGGAACCCACTAGAGCCTCCTCCGGCCAACCATAGCAGCGATTTTCCAACTTCTCAAAGTTCAAGAGGTAGTCATTTAGGGATCCGGTCTGCTTAACCTTTGCCAAAGCCTCATGACTGGAGGTGCTTTCTGATGGCCCAAATCGCGCCCATAACTCATAACAAAATCTTGGCCAAGTCATCACCATGCTAGACGCCTGTAAGCTCGATCAAGCCACTGCCACCGCGGATTTGCGTCTCCTTCCAGATGAAATGACACCAGAGGAACTTTTTAATCTTCATGTGTACCTTGAAATTTGAAGAATTGTTCCACACGAGTGAACCACCCGGAGGGATCTTCGGCTCCATCAAATTTTGGAAACTTCAATTAAGCTTGCTTGGTCCGGAAATACCCTGGTTGATCATCATTTCGGTTCGACCATGCACCCATTTGCACCCATTCTCCACTGGTAGGACCTGTTGGTCCGCCCTGATGGCCCGTTACCCCACCTCTATAGTTTCCGCCTCCACTAACCAGACCGGTTGGCCCACCGCCTGGGCTAGATGGCGTTCCGCTCCAGTTTCCCTACAGCTGTCCCGATCCGACCCGGGTCCCTTCTAGCCAGCCCGCGTCATCCTGCCCAGTGGGAGTTCCCGACCCACGACCCGGTCCTTACGCAGCCCACCTGCCAGGTTCGCCCGAAGTACCCCATCGCCCAGGCCCAGCGGTAGTTGCTTCCTCCTCACCCCATCCCTGCCTGCCTGCATTCGGCCCACTCGGCAGCTGTGTCGCATTAGCGTTTCCCGGGCGAAATTGCGTTGGTCCTGTCCTCTCTGATCCCGGGCCCAGTAGCCTTGGGCCGCCGATTCGGCCTGGCTCCTTCAACCCACTGCCTCACTCATCTCCCATCTAAATCGGCAAGACGTGAGAAGGTCCTCCTGCGGAGCGTCCCACTTCATCAGAAATGTTGGAAGGTGGTAGTCGAATCTTTCTCCTGCTTCGTGGGCACCCTCTTCGGAAATCCGGACCAAATTAGTGATCTTAATGATACTCTCCTGGTTCTCATACCCAAGAAAGAGAGCCCCGAGCTTATCACCCAGTTCTGGCCGATTGGACTTTGTAACGTGGTGTATAAGACGCTTGCTAAATGTCTGGTTAACAGGATTAAGCCACTGATGCGTAACCTGGTGCATCATACCCAGTCCAGCTTTGTTCCAGGACGACATATTAATGATAATATCATTGTTCTTCGGGAAGTGGTGCATTCGCTGAAGCTGAAGACAAGTAAGAAAGGAGCCATGGTCTGGAAGATAGACCTTGCAAAGGCCTATGATAGAGTGAACTGGTTGTTCCTACAAGAAACTCTTCAGGGAGTGGGGTTCCCAGCGCATTTGATTAGAGTTATCATGGCGTGTGTTTCCTCGTCTTCCATGCAAGTGTTATGGAATGGTAGTTGCACAAAGAGTTTCAGACCATCCAGGGGGCTGAGGCAAGGATGTCCTCTGTCACCGTATCTGTTTACTCTCTGTATGGAGCGCCTGAGTCACACCATTAGGAAAGTGGAAGTCGCTGGTCATTGCTCCGAGTGCGCCTTCTCTTTCTCATCTCTATTTTGCTGATGACCTGATTCTGTTTGCAGAGGCGAGTATGTCACAAAGCCAGGTCATCATGGACTGCATGGATAGATTTTGTCTTGCATCAGGGGATCAAGTGAGTAAGGAAAAATCGGTGATATTCTTCTCTAAGAATGTCTCAAAGCAGGCGAGTAGCTCTATAGCTCGAGCGGCCGGTATCCCGATCACCCAAGATCTAGGATGCTATCTCGGTGTGCCTGTACTGCATGGTAGGGTAACCAAGGAGACTTACAAGCATATTCTCAACCGAATGGACAATAAACTGGCTAGTTGGAAGGCGGGGAGTCTCTCTTTCGCAGTCTACATTGATGCCGATCTCCATCTGTGACGAGATTGACCGAAGGATACGTAACTTCATTTGGGGATCTTCGCGATCGCATCGTAAAATGTACCTCGTGCATTGGGAGGAAGTCTGTAGACCAAAGAAAGAAGGAGGTCTGGGGCTTCGGAAGGCACACGAACTAAATATAGCATTTCTTACTAAACTTGCTTGGTTGTTTATTAAGAAACCAGATGAGTTGTGGGTGCAGATTCTCCAGGCCAAGTATTTTAAATGGTGCAGTGGCAGATGGTGTTGAAATTCACATCTATTAGCTCTACAATCTGGAGGGGCATCCGGAAAGCCTGGCCAGTTATGGCAGAGGGCACGAAGATGAGTATTAAAGATGGTCGCACCACGTCCTTTTGGCTGGATCGCTGGGTGGATAGTGGGGACAGGTTTCTGGATCACGTTCTTGAGGGGAATGCGTTGACCAACATCCACGCCTCTGCTGCTGAATTCACAACGGTGGAAGGTGAGTGGGACACTGAGCAGCTCCAACTATTTTTACCTGAAAATATGGGTTTGCAGGTGCAGGGGATTCATCCGCCGAAGGCAGGTGCGGGGGATGATGTGCCGGTTTGGGGGCCAGAAGAGAATGGACAACTCCGTGTTCGCTCAGCTTATGACTTGGTGACCAGCCATGAGCACTCGGCGCTCGGTTTTGATTGGAGGACGATCTGGACTGGCTCATGACGAATGTAGAGAGAGGGCAGCGCCACCTGGCGGACCCGACAGTGTGCACCCAGTGTTCTTCTCATCCCGAGACAATCTTGCATGTGTTGCGAGAGTGTCGCTTTACCAGGTTAACTTGGATGCAATTGCTTCAACCTTCTGAATACCAGCGGGTTTTTGGATCCCACCTGCAGGATTGGCTCTCACACTACCTCAAGCAGGATCAGTTTAGCCTGCCCTTTGGCCTCGTTTGCTGGTCCCTGTGGAGGACCAGGAATGACCGCGTTTTTGCAAACAAGGTCACTACAGTTGAAAGCTTTCTACAGTGCGTCCATGCTTGGTTAACTGTCGTGAAGACAACATTGGACAAGGACAGGAAAATCCATAGACTTGATCCGCCCATCAGAAGGAGGAGGAGATCTCTTGGAAGCCGCCTCCTCCCGAGTGGGTTACTCTCAACTCTGACGGCTCAGTCTTACAAGAGTCAGGCCTTGCTGCTGCAGGAGGCTTGATCACAGATCATCTTGGACGCTGCCTAGTAGCGTTCTCTTTGAACCTGGGTGCATGTTCGATCACCCGGGTAGAGTTGAGAGGCGTTGTGGAGGGACTTCAACTGGCTTGGGACATGGGATACAGACATGTCCGCATGGAGCTCGATTCGAGATGTGTTGTCCGCATGGAGCTCGATTCGAGATGTGCTATCCTTCTTCAAAAAGACTGGGATGTTGCAGTCTACCATGTTTACGGAGAGGGTAATAAGTGTGCTGACTTGCTTGCCTCTCGAGGTCACTACTTGCCTGTTGGGTTTCATTTTGTACCGGTTACTGATTCTGCTTTGAAGTTATGGCTCTTGTATGATACTTTGGGGATCTCAGAATCCCGACTGGTTTTGAATGAAGGTTAGGATGCTTTGCATCCATTTATAAAAAAAAAACTGTTTTAAAATTAAATATTTTGACAAAAATGTCATTTGTGTCCTGTTATTTTCAATATTCCATTTATGTCCTAAACTATGATACTTTGTGCTATTTGTATCGTGACGATTATGTTGATCGTTAGAGATAACGGTTGACCAAACGGTGGTCAAAGCAAAGTTGACTTTTGTTGACGTGGCAAAATGTGGCTGCCACATAGATGTCACGTCATTAACACCTCATATTATTTTAATTCAAATT